TCTCTCTCTCTCTCTCTCTCTCTCTCTCCTTTGCTAACACTCATGTCCTGTTACTGCATCTCGCTAACTCGACTATACTGAATGTCACTTACTTGGCATCTTCTCCGGAGCCTTCGTGCTCCACTGTCTCGCAGGTTAACTTATATCGCAGCGGTGCCTGGATAGTGTGACGTGTGTGGTTGTGCTGCTGCCGTGGTCCTGCCAGATGCCTCCTGCTGCTGCTGTTATCATTAGTCATACTTCTACTGTTATTATACACATATGATTATTGTCACATATGTATACTATCATATATTAATATATACTTTCAACATATTGTACCACAATAGCCAGAATTATAATTATAATATTATTACTTTCATTAATGTTGTTGTAAGCTATTACCGTTACGTCTGTCCTGCATCTCTCAATGTCTCTGTCTCTCTCTCTGTCTCTCTTTCTGTCTCATTGTGTCATATGGATTAATGTTAATTTATTATTTATTACATCTATTGCATGTCTGTCGTCCTGGAAGAGGGATCCCTCCTCAGTTGCTCTTCCTGAGGTTTTTACCATTTTTTTCCCCCCGTTAAAGGTTTGTTTTGGGGGAGTTTTTCCTTATCTGCTGCGAGGGTCCTAAGGACAGAGGGATGTCATATGCTGTAAAGCCCTGTGAGGCAAATTGTGATTTGTGATATTGGGCTTTATAAATAAAATTGAATTGAATTGAATACATACATACATACATATACATACATACCCTGTTTATTGCAGAAATCACAGCCATTTCCAATTAGGCGTCTGAAACAACACTTCTCCTCCGAAGGTTGAGCTCCATGCAGAATCTCCTGACGCTCATTATGGAACACAGCGTGGCCCCTTCATGCTGCAAAATGCCGCTCTCAAAAAGTTCACAGATCAGGTCTGGATAAGGCTGGAGTGCGGCCATAACTAGGCTAAGTAGTTGAGAATGGAGCGCTCCTCTGCGAAGTTCAAAAGTTCCTCCGCAGATCTCCCAGCATTCCCCGAATTTATCCAAATATCAAAATACCAAAACAAAGAAATTAAAAACTTCATTTTCACGTTCTTATGTTTTGTAGTTATTTTTTTGTTTTAAAATTAAAACAGGTGATTTCTGTAAAAAAAACAAACAGAAGAACGAGATTGTTTTTCTGATTTGGTTTTGAAATGGAAAAAAAAATTAAGGGTACACAGATTTGGATAGATTCATGATTATTTGTAGGCATTATTAAATCAACTTGATGCTTTGAAGACAGAAATTTCATTGCCAATGGATAAACCATGCCCATTCTGCTGGAATGCAGATGACAGAGATGGATCATTTTGTTTGTTGAACAGATACCAGTACAGATACAGATAATGACGTCTCAGTACACCTCTATGAGGAAGGAAGGATTTCAAATAGTGCTGTCCACTGTGCTGTACAGAGCTTATGAAAAAAATAAAAATAAAAATTGCATTTAACATTCTTTAGTCTTCGCTCTCAGCACTGTTGCATCATGTTTTGTCAAATCAGATCAGATGAGAGAAAGTTCTTAAAACCCAATATCGCATACAGTGTCTAATGGTTTCTGACCCCATATAATCTCTCTTAGAAAGCAGGGATAAACTTCCCAAGCATCAATACTAATAGCCAAAACACTGGCAGAGGCAATCAAAAGAGAAAAAAAACATTTACAAAAACCTTTTCATAATCATAATCGGGCAGCACGGTAGTGTGGTGGTTAGCACTCTCGCCTCACAGCAAGAGGGTTGCCGGTTCGATCCCGGGTGTAGGAGCCCTTCTGTGCGGAGTTTGCATGTTCTCCCCGTGTCAGCGTGGGTTCTCTCCGGGCACTCCGGCTTCCTCCCACAGTCCAAAGACATGCAGATTGGGGACTATGTTAATTGATAACTCTAAATTGTCCATAGGTGTGAATGTGAGCGTGAATGGTTGTCTGTCTCTATGTGTCAGCCCTGCGATAGTCTGGCGACCTGTCCAGGGTGTACCCTGCCTCTCGCCCGATGTCAGCTGGGATAGGCTCCAGCCCCCCCGCGACCCTCAAGAGGATGAAGCGGTTAGAAGATGAATGAATGAATGAAAGATCATAATCATAATCATAATCAATCTTACACAATTTGACTGTTGAAACAACCTGATTTCCACACAGAGAAACATGATGATTTGTGTGCAACCATGTTTAATAGATTACAAGCCAATCTTAGTGTATATGAATGTGTGTGTCTGTGTGTTACCTCCTCCACATTGGACAGTACAGTCCTGCCAACTGCTGTGCGTCCAGATGTAGAGGTACTCTGGTTCCTTCTGCTCCTCACTGCTCCTGTCCTGAGTTGTGTTCAGGGACACTGTGTACTCATAGTGGATCCCATAGCTCTGATCATGAAAGAGTAACACCTGGAAACACAACAGAGAGGGGTTTAAAGACTAGGGAAACTGTGCTCAAAGGGGGAAGCGCACTGAGAATTCATGCACCTCATCTGATGCACATTAACTGGCTTTCCAATGGCATCAGATTTGAAATGCCAACACCACAGACACAGCCCTATTTTAGGAAAAGGTCACTATTTAGGGAAAGGTTTTATATGTTATGAATACCCTTGTGTCAGTTTAGTATTTCATTAATTATCATCATTTCATTTTCAAAGGTGAGCAGTGGAAAAAAGTGAGCAAACATAGCCAATTGTGCAGTATTTGCTTTGAATTAACAGTTTTTCCATGGGCCCAGGTCAAAGTTTCCACAACAACTTCACAGCAGGGAACATCTGTGCAGTTGTGGTCCTGCTTGGTAAGTTCTTATCTTAGTTCAGGCTGTTCTCATGCACTGTTCATATGTTTTGCTATGAAATGTAGTCCACCAAAATTCATATATATCCCACATAAAGGTGAGCTGGTAATTCGTACATAACCCATGTGTTTTGGAAGGCTTTGATTACAAGACTTGACGGGAGTAAATGAGCATGTGGTCCTGGGTGCTCCTTAAGGAGGCAGGCTGGGGCAGTGGATGGGTCAGAAAACACAGGATTTTTCCCAGGAGACCACTGTTCAGATCCGTGTGAACTTTGAGTCATTTTAAGGTACGTCCTCAACACGTTTCTTTTCCTAACCCTAACCACAGTAACTTTACTTGCCTAAACCTAACCTCAATTCGTGGGGCACTAATTTGTAGCATATCATATGAACTGTTGTGTTTGCATTTTGGTAGGATATCATACTAACTGTTGTATTAGGATAAGATATTGATCAAATAGGAATCAAACGAGAGTACAAACATGTTGTGTCGTGTCATTTAATGATCGCACACTGTTAAATGTTATAAAACAGGCAGCAGAGTTTGTGATAAAATAATGCTGAAAACACACTAAAAAGCAGTGAAGTGTGGCCAGCAACAATTAAATTTTTTCTGTGATCAGGGAAATTACTAGTTACTAGTTACAAATTACTCTCAAAATTTAATATATTATATATTACTGGTTACCTTCATTTGAAAGTTCAGAATATTACTCTCTTACTCTGTGTAGAGTAATAAGTCTTACTACACTACTTTTGCCTTACTTTCACCAAAATAAGCTCATCATATAAAACATAATAAACAAATGTTGAGGTTAGCACTACAAACAGAATGGCGTGTGAGTTAGTCACTATGAAAAACGTAAATTAATACACCGGAGCTGGAGGACTCACCTGCCAGTTCCCGGTGTGCCTGTCAGCTACAGCAGCACCAGAGAGAGTTATGCATAAGAACGGGAATGTGTGCCAGTTCTGCTCTGCAGTTGTAGGTGTAGCATATGATTACGCTGGATGTGTAGAATTTATTGTAAACTAGCAACAATATGTGTGTGGACTGGTGCAACCAGAAGATAGCAGATTTGGTTAAGGAGGAGAAATTATAATGATGGCAATATCAAAGGAAGACTCCGACACTGAAATGTGCTTAATAGGTACCATGTATTGAAGTGAAAAAATGAATAAATAAATAAACAAATTAAATATAAAGAGTGGCCATACAAAATCAGATTCAATAGAAAATTGTAATAAATCAAAATATACCAAATGCCAATGTAAGTAACAATAAAGTTGTCACTTCAAAGCTAGCTTAACATTATTTAAGATCTGGTGCACCGAGCAATAAGTACTTTGGATCCAAGCAGATAAATGCTGTGTTCTTTCCACTAATTCAACTGATAGTTAAACCAAAAGAAATGAAAACATTACAGTGCAATTTCAACATAAACAACCAAAATACCCCAACTCAAAACTGTTTGAAATAGTGGACCTCTTCACACGCCATGAGTTTCCCGTGTCCAACGCAGTCCAAACGGGGGGAAAAAGTCAATTAGTCCAAAAATCAATTAGTCAGTCAAGGAGGGGTTAATGTGCTGTTCCAAGGGATACCTGAGTGTGTGTGTGTGTGTGTGTGTGTGTGTGTGTGTGAAGGGGGGAAAAAAAGATGAATGGGGCTGGCCTGCAGTGTGGCCTACTGCTTTGGCAGGTGAGATGCTGGTTGCAGTAGATCGAAGTTGTTCTTGGTCCAGTTTAGGTTCGAATTAGCTTGCCATCATGCGTTCTTCATGCTCAAGTTTCTCCATAGTCAAAAAGCCTGGCCTTTATTAAGCAAAAGGCCTTCATTTAGCTTCATGTGCTTTCATTTAAATCCCACAAAATAAATTAAACAAAACAAAACAAATACATGTACAAGTATGTATATATATATATATATATACATATATATACAGTATCTATTTCATTACATGCATAATGTCTTTTTAAATGTAACCATCTGCATACAAAAGTGACACAGTTAAACTTTCATACATTGGATCAGGTTAAACTTCCATACCGTGAATTAACCCGGAGCCAGGCGCAGCACCGCATTAGCCTGTCAGCTGGTGGCTAACCAGCAAATGAACAAACAACAAGCTACACACTAGTGACACACAACAGCGGTACGTTTGTTTAACTTATAAGACAGTGTGTAAATGACTGCTGGTGATGAATGTTAAATATCTGACATGTTAACATGTGACATGAGTTACCAACATGCATGTTGCTAACATGCATGTAGCTAACAATAACACGTCAACTCACCAATTCACTCATCAAGAGCCTTCACGCAACCAGAGTTCCTCAGCAGGGTTTCACACAGGGTAGCCGTCTACAAGCCATAAAGTTCAACCATCACACCTCATGTTAACCGGTTTAAATGTTGAAACATGCGGGTAACAAACATTTCACCACTGACCTGCAGCTGCTCCGCTCTCAGCGTCTCCATTCATCTGACTAAGCAGCGTACCCACTTCCTGTTAGTAGCGCTGAGGCTACTCCATTGCGGCTCTGATTGGCTACTTAACTCACGTGACATTCATTCACACAGTTTCACATAGTTTCATATAGTTTAGTTTTATTTACCCACTAGAGACGTGGGTGACATCCTCCCCCCCTAAATCCATGCACGTCCCGTTTCATGCCAAGCGGTTACACAACATGAACTTGGGAACTACAGGAGGACTGTGACACCTCATGCCCATCCAAGGCTGCAGTACAGGCTAGGGACAGACTTTGGAAAAGAGACTGCACTACATGGATCAAGGGATTGCCTAACTGGTGGTACTGAAACCTCCGAGGGGGTTCTCTGTGTCTATGTGAGTGTCTGAAGGAACTGCCCGCTTCTGCTGGATCACTGGCAGTGTCAACTGGTTCAGTGGGTATGTCAGCCACATCAGTCTCAGGTTCCCCAGATGGCTCAACTTCAGGTAAGTGTCCGTCCAGTAGGACTTCAATAGGTTGATTTTTCTCCACAGATTCCGGTAAGTTGTTTTCCTCCACAGATCCAGGTAAGTTTTCCTCCACAGAACTGAGGTCATGCATAGGATTCTTGGCCCGAGGCAGGTGACCTGCAACTAACTGTGATGGCAGAGGGACAGGGTTTACAGAGGGGTCAGCTTGGTGGGTCTCCATCTCAGCTCCAGCCGTGAGATCGCTCCCCACAGTGAATTGAACTGTCGGCTGAACATGGCCTCCCAAGTCCCAACAACCAGATTCTTCATCCTCATAATCAACAGTGTCAGTTTCATCACTGCCTCGGTGATGCCGTGTTCGTGGCCTACGAACAGGTGACGGCTGAGGGAGTTCTGCAGCCGCCATGGGAAGAAACCCACAGGGAAGAAGAAGATCTCGGTGCAAGGTGCGGTTAGGCCCACCTTTGTTCTCCGGCTATACAGTATAGACAGGGAGATCTCCTGCACGCTTGATCATCACATAGACATCAGCTTCCCACTTGTCCATGAGTTTGTGCTTGCCTCGAATACGCACATTTCTGACCAACACCCTGTCTCCCACTTCCAGGTCTTAAGTAGTTACTTTTTGGTCGAACCAAGCTTTATTTCTCTCTCCCACTTTCAGAGCATTTCAAGAAGCAAGTTGGTAACTTTCTTCCAGTCTGGTTTTGAGGTCTTGCACATACTGAGAGTGAGTTTTGAACTGATCTGCTTTCACAGGCAAGCCGAAGGCTAGATCAACAGGTAGTCAGGGAGAACGTCCAAACATGAGTTCATAAAGGGTGTAACCCATTATGTCACTAGGTGTGCAGTTTTAGGCATGAACCAAGGGCTTGACAAATTCTCGCCACTTTGACTTTTGCTTAGTTTCCAGGGTCCCCAGCATGTTGAGCAATGTGCGGTTAAATTTTTCAACCGGATTTCCCCAGGGATGATATGGAGTTGTCCGAACTTTGGTCAGTGTGCAATCTCTCTGGTATGCCATAATACACAATAAAGTTGTCCCACAAACATTTTGCCACTGTCTTTGCTGTCTGATTGGGAGTAGGGACAGCTACTGCAAACTTTTTGAAGTGGTCAGTTAGCACAAGGATGTCTTTTGTGTTGCTAGTATCAGGTTCCAGAGTGAGGAAATCCATGCATACCAACTCCAGTGGACGAGTGGCTTTGATGTTCACCAAGGGATCTGCTTTCTCACACAGAGCTTTCTGGTGTATGCAGTGATCGCATGTATTGATTTTTTGTTCCACGGCTGCTGCCATTTTGGGCCCATAAAACCTTGATCGTACAAGGTCAAGTGTTCTCTCAATGCCCATATGTCCCATATCATTGTGTAAGCTCTGCAAGACAAGTGCTCGTAGTTCTTTGGGTAAAACAAGCTGGTAATAAATCTGCTCACCCTCTTGCCTGCGTCTGTACAAGATCTCGTTCTGCAGCTCTAGTTTGTTCCATTCCCTCATCAAAAGTGGAAGTTCATGGAGCTCAGTACTCACAGTTGGAGGGATCTTTTCTCCAGATTCTATTTTGAATATGTCTTCCCGGATACAGGGGTCAACTCTCTGTTTGTCTTTGAGCTCAGAATGGGACAGCGCTAGAATGACAGGATGTTCTGACCAGGCA